TTCTCCTTAAACACAAATTGATTTCACACTTAAATCTTCACGGTATAAATCGCAGACCCTCCACCTGCTCCCCACTATAACTGTCTCCTTCTCTTTTTCCTTACATCTCATTTAACCTGCTCTCCTCCACCAAATCTTCCATTACATCCTCCCTGGCTCATGTGTAGACACACACCTGTGATCCTGAGGTGTGTCATGACCGAATGACCAGGGATGCTATAAGGAAGGAAATATAAGGAAAGAATGCTAAGAGACGATGAGTGAAACAGTGAAGGCCGGAGGCATCTGCTGGGTGTTACAGGGCAGTTTCTAGAAAGGCTGTGCGTGGGAAAATTGAGGAGCTATTTTCATGCCACATTAAGTTACACCAGCCTTCCACTACAGGACTTTGCTCAGACAGAGGAGGCTTGCCTCTATTGTGAAGGCTAATAATCAGCGCAATGGAGTTATTACCCAGCACTACATTTCACAGGCCTAACCTAGACAGCATCAAAGAAGGGGAAGAGAGGGAACGTGGGAGGAGGACTAGACATGAATTCCAATGGATTGTAACAAACGCTGCTACCTCCAGCCCAGCCCAGCCTCATTCATTTTATATGCTTCAAGTTCAGCTCAATACAAATTGATATCTGGGTGAATGGGATGAAAGTACTAGGGGTAATGCAAAAATGGCAAAACACAAAACGGGAATTTAATTCCATTACTGCATCTTTGATGTCTGTCCAGTGTCAACAGTGTAACAACAGAGGCTGGTGCTTGTAGGAGCCCCTGCATCTTCATACATCTTTCCATTATTAACACCACTCTAAGCACATTCCACTGCTGTCAGTCTGGGGCAACATCACAGTGAAATATTAAGCCCCCTGCCGTGCCTATCACTGCTCCGTTGTGTAAGTACATTAACTGTACAGCATTTGAAAGGGTCATTATCAGCCAAAGAGTGAAAAGGACTGACATGCAAAGCATTATCATACATGTTCCCACTCAGCAGTCAGTCAAGTTCCCAGTGAATATGTTTGTGTGAGGAGATGATGGTATCAAGATTTTAACAGTGTTGTTTGTCAGGGCCAACAGTAGCAAATGAATTTGAACTTATTGACTTTTTGAATTTATTGTGTTTTGTCGCTGTTGTCTGTGGACCTCTTCCTAAAATACCATAAATTTATTATGTCACTAAAAGATAAATGAAATACCTCCGAATTAATTTGCACCAACTCGGTAATGTTTGCTCCTGATGTACAGAAGTGGAAATATGCTAATGTTGGTGCTTTGTAAATTAAATTAATACTGAGTTTGTGGCATGCAATGTCACAATCTCAATGTGCACTCTTACTATTTTTCTCTCAGATTCATTTAAAATTATAACCTTAAAAACACGTCAGTACCATTTACTATTCAACAAAAAGAATTGTAGCAAAACTTACCATTAATGTCATACTGTTGCTTTATATTCAGAATTTGCGCTATACTGGCAACATAATTACATTTTAAGACCCCTATCAAACTTAAATATTGTCTACAAACCATTTGTAAATAGATTACGAATTAAGCAATAGTGACTCGAGCTATCAGGCTCACATAGAGTAAAATACACCATTAAATACCAATAAAGCCTAATTTCAGTTTATTGATATATTTTCTTTATATTTGGCTGTTGTTGGTCTATTTATCAGGCTAAGAGAATCCCACAGTGAAGCAAATCAGTATGCGCTGAGAAATAATGGCCATTTCAGTGCAAGAAAATATTAATTAAAAAAATCTAAATTGTAAAGCCGTGGGAGGCTTGCAGTGCTTGTTGCTTTTCATGAGTTTTTATTTCCTCTCACAAACTTAGCACAACCTGGTGTGTTTCCCTTTGTCTTAAGGTGAGATAAACTAATATATTCCTATTCCTCTGAAATAAATCTCTCCTTTTTGTCTTCAGAACTGCCTTAATTCATCTTGTCAGAGTTTCAACATTGCTGTGAAACATTGCTCACAGATTTTGGTCCACGTTGACATGATGACGTGAATCTCCCATTCCACCACATCTCAAAGGTGCTCTGTTGGATTGAGATCTGGTGACTGTGGAGGCTATTTGAGTACAATGAACTCATTATCATGCTCAAGAAACTAGTTTGAGATTATTTGAGCGTTGTGACATGTTGTCCTGCTAAAAGTGCAACCAGACAATGAGTCCACTGTGGTCATCATGGGATCGACACGGTAAGCAGCAATACTCAGAGAGGCTATGGTGCGTAAACAATGCTCAGTTGGTACTAAGTGTTCCCATGACTTTATCACCACCAGCAGCTTCGACTGCTGATACAAGGCAGGATGGATGCTTTCATGGTGCCGCAGCAGACTCAGACCAGGGAATGTTTGTGTGACTTGTACCTTTAGTGTCCTTTTCTCAATGCTACAACCCACCTGGCTCAATGTTCAGTACATTGTGTACTCATGTTGTAATGAGTGATTATTGTTGTTACTGTTGCCTTCCAACCAGCTTGAAGCAGTAGGACCTCTTCCATCAGCATCAGCACTTTTGTCCGCTCACTTGATATTTTCTCTCTCTTTTTTGGAGCCATTCTCTGTAACTCTAGAGATGGTTGTGCAGGAAAATCCCAGCAGACCAGCAGTTTGTGAAACACTCAGACTAGGCTGTCTGGCACCAGCATTCAGGCCATATTCAATGTCGCTTTAATCGCCTTTCCACTCCATTCTGATGTGCAGTTTTAACTTCAGCAGGTCATCTCGACTGTGTCTACATGCCTGAATGCACTGAGTTGCTGGCATGTGATTGGCCGATTAGATATATGCGTTAGAGAGCATTTGAACAGACGTACCTAACGAAGAGCCGGGTGAGTGTTTATCACTTATAGTACAATACACTGCAAATACACAGGAACAATAACTTTGTTAAACTGAATAGTAGAAGTTTTGCTTTGATGTTATTTGTGCATTAGAGCTATTAAAAGCAAATATTGGATAGTCAAATCCAAATAGACATTTAAAATGCCCACAGTGGTAAATATATACATATAATTACAGTTTTAATAATAAACAGATATTAATGTTACTGTACATTTTCCCCTTGCCAATTTATATATTTACAGTATTTAAAATCTCCAAAAAGGTATTTGTTCTGTAATAATCATCCCATCTCACTTGACTGAATATGTAATGAATTTAAGTACTTGCTGTTTATATTTATTTATTTTATGAGATCAGATTTTAAAGGCTGCCTCAGATACCACAGAAGGAACACGGGAAGGAAGATATTCCTACATTCTGCTATTGCATCTTCAAAGGCACCTGAAGCCCTTTTGAACAAAACACAGACTGAAGAAAATCACACAAGAATGTGAATTAAACAAAAACACATCAAAGTGTGTCAGCTTAACCCACACATGCACCACATGAGCACTTTTGCCTTGTGAGAAAAATATATCTAATGCACATTTCTGTGAAAAGAAAAAAAAATCATCAAGAGGATCGGAGACCGTGTTGTTTGATTGCAAAGAGTCTTTATTTTTTTCCTTGTGTTCAAGTACGGTCCTCTCTCAGCAGGGTCATCTAAGAAGCATGGACACACAACACACAACTCGCACCAGAGCCTGAGCATCTTCAGGTGGGATTTCTCTTTTTGTCTCGACTGGGGTGGGGGGGTCCCGATCAGCAGTTTCCATGTTTAGGTCAAGTGAACAAGAGTCCTGTTGTACACCACATAATTGTTTTCTCTGCGAACATTTGTTGCATTTAGTGACACTGACATCAGCACATAAAAATTATATATATATTTATATATATATATTTATATTCATATTCATATATTTATAGATTTGTCATTCTATATCAACAATTCCTTCTAGTGATTTTTTCCTTGGTTTTTCATGTTGTAAAACTGGACAAACTGTCGGTAGGAATGCCTTGTTTGGACATTGATTTGTACAGGAACGCTCACACACATACACGCAACAGAGGCATACGCACACTACTACACACATGCATGCATAGATACGCTCGCTCAAGTTTACGTGTACACACAGGCCACACATTCTGTCACATACATGCACATGTACACAAACACACGCGTGCGCACACACGTCAACCCCCCCGCCCACACACACATCCGCATACACACCCACATGTGCTCAGCCAACACGGAGAGGCAGGTCTGTACATCTACGGGAGAGAGACATTACCCATGATTCCCAGCAATAAGTACAGCTTCACCTGATCAAAAACACAAGAAAATAAAAGTTACAAACAGCAGAGTGAGTCGGCCAGTCTACGTCGTCTGTAAACGTCGACAAAAATTTCCTTTTAAAGTCCTCTTGGACTGGTCCACTGTGTGTCAAAGTTTGGCACAAGACCTTTCTCTCTCGTCTTCCTTTGTCTCTACTGTACACTGAGATGTACAATACTGGCGGCTTTCACTGATGTGAAAAAAAAAACTTGAAACAGTTTGGTTTTTTTTTATGCAGAGGTGATGATGACAAACCACTAAAAGTTGACATTGTCAAACATGTCAGATTCCCCAAAGTGAAAAGACAAACCTTTCCAAAGACAGAGAGTGTGCTTTAAACATACACATATAATCTTTAGGCAGTGAAAAAGCACTTTAGTTGACGGGGACTCTGGAACAATGCTGCTCTGCCAAACTGATGCTTTGGCAGCTTTGAACTGCTCTTTACTGTGTCCATGACAAAATTCACTCGACGGAGAGAGAAAAACACAAATATCGCAGTGCTTCCTCTCTTCCTGGGAAAGGAAAGGGGGGGCAAAACAAAAGTGTCTGCTGACACCCATCCTGATGATGTCTGTCAGGTCTGATTCTCGTGTTCACATTTCGCTTATTTTTTGTTGCTTTTGATGTTTCAGTCAGCAGTCAGTCATGGAAAATAAATTATGTTTGTATAAGTGGCCCATCAAAAACGTGTAATATACACACTATATCACCTTTTACTGTACACAGAAAATAAAAAGTTTCTTTTTGTTTTGCTGAAAGTGAAAATTTAGAAAAGTACAAATAAAAAAGATGTAAAAGAATGACGACAAAAAAAGAAGTCTCTTGAAGATGACATTCCTTGAACGCAAATTCAGAAGCCTCTGGAGGCGGCAAGGCCATTGCAACAAAAAAGGGGGATAAAAGCAGTGCTACGTTTGTCACTTGGGTGAAATGGTAAACATCCACTTCTTGCTTGTTGCCTGATGTGCTTTCATCTTTTTCTGTGCTTTTATTCTTCCTGACCTCTTCAAGAACCCTCATGCCATCTTTGTCTCTCATCTCCTCCTTAGGTCAGACAGCTCTTTGCTCCTACAGAGTAAGAACGCTCCCTCAACTGCTGCTTATTTCTTTATCCTAGCGCCCTCTTCTTCTCTCTTGACATCTGCATACTCTATCCGTCTGGTCATTTTCTCTCTTTTTATATTCTGTTTCCTACTCTTAGCTCAAACTGTCAAACACACTTTGTCATATCTACTTCCACTAGCTCCACTCATTGGTGAAATGGAGCTGACTTTAAAGAAATAAACTGGTCTGGAAAAAAAAGTTCACATGCACATGCAGTCTCTCTTTGTTGCTCGACCTGACTTTACTTCCTATCCCCATCCAGCCCTGCTATCCCACTTATTTTAGAGAACATAAATTTCCTGCCACTGGCTACAAGATCGCTTTCAAAATACCACGTATAATCACTGCTGATGTCTTGCAAAAATAATCCCTTTCACACAAGCACACACAGACTCTTTCTTGCCCCCCAACACTGTAGTCTAACTAGACCCAGGAGTCAGGTGAGGCCGGATAGTGGCTGGTCTCGTAGTTTAGTTCGCTGTATGGCCGAGAGGCCGAGTAGAAGTCTACGTAGTTGCCGGTTGATTTGAGGCCCAGATGCATGCGCAGATCTTCCCGCGGGTCCCTGGGTGGTCCGGTGGAGATTGGAGGTTGCTGGGGTGGGGCCTGAGGCTGGGCCTGAGCCTGGACCGGTGGCTGTGGCTGGGGTGGCGGTGGTCCTTGGTCCTCGTAGTAGGCCTCGTCAAAGCTCCGGCTCTGGCTGTGAGGTGGAGGCTGCGGTGGCTGAGGCTGGGGGAAGGAGGGAGGGGGAGGGTAGGGGTCGTAGTCTTTTAGCACGGCTGCTGACGGACTGTCCAGCTGGGGCTGAGGGGGCACGATGCAGGGCTGGGCTGGACCCTGGCGGGGAGTGGTTGAAGTGAAAGAGTGGTAGGTGGGGGGGTGAGGTGCAGCAAGGAAAAGAATGGAGAGTCAAAGACATGTGGGTAACGGGAGGAAAGGTGGGAGTGGAAGAAAAGGGGAGAGAGATAAAGAGGGAGCGATGGAAAGGAGAGTGACAGGTAAGAGTGAACACAAGGGACAAAAGGTTTTGAAAGGCAGGCTGTATGGGTAAAGAGCTCAGAAAGGAATCAGTGGGGAAGGGGCTCATGCTGTGAATTCTCTATTACATGCAGGCGTCGAAGGCGGCAATGCATCTCTAACACTATAACACTATAACTCGCACAGGCCAGTTGTGTGCGTGTGTCTGTGTGTGTGAGCGCACGCGTGTGCAGCCGCGTGAAGAAAACGTGTTTACATGTTTAACTGCCAGTGTTAAAAGTTCGTACCCGTACAAATGAACTTATACTTTAATTAGAAACTTATAAGTGATGAAGAAATCGGGCCAAAATTTCAAAGTCAATGGCTCTGATGCCTTTTATTTCCCTTCCCTCGGTACCAGCAGAGTCATTTACCAAGAGCAAATAATTAGTGCAATCAACTGAGGTAATGACTTTAATTGCCAGTCGGGTGTGGTTTCAGGTTGCAGTCGTTTGATACTGCTTGAGCTGAGGGTGTGCCTCCATCGCACACTCTGCCAGCACATCTCTTATCACACTGGGACACCTTTTGTGTGCATATATTTGTGCGTTTTCTATCCTGCTGCTATCTCTGTTAAAAAACCCCTGAAATGCATGCACTGCTAAAACGCTGTGGTGGTGTATTGCTACATATGCATATAGAAAAGTGGATTCACAGAGCAGCATTAACTCACCTGGTTTTGCTTGATATCATCGCTGGCAGTCAGGTAAGAGTTTCGGAACAGTGTAGATGTCCCACAGGAAATTTGAACTTGATGGATAAAATAAAAATAAAAATTATACCACTTTTTCAATTAATGACAAAAATAGCTACTAATAATACCTATCAGATATCTGACAATAACTTATGAGAGTTTCAAAGCTCTGGCTCTGGCTGTGATACTTGTCACATAAAGAATTTATCATAAGAGAAAGAGATGGAAAAAATAGAAAACATTAAAAAATAGAAAATAAATAAATAGACATTAAGGGAGCGTGGAAGCTAATAGAGTGAAGAGATAACAAGAAGGCACGGGAAGAAAGAAACTGGAAAGGAAGACAGGAGAAGATTGAGAAGAATCAAAGTGTGTGAGAAGAGAAATGGTGTGAAGCTGAAAAAAGGCAGATAAGTGAAAGAGGAAATAGGGAATGAATATAGAGGAGAAGGAAAGATAAAGAGGGGGATAAAATAGAATCATTTAATTCATCTCCATCACACACACATACACACACCTGCCATGCCGTCTTTCCGGGATGTGTGCTCTCCTTTGTTGCTATGGAAACCGGCGTTGGTTGCCGTGGAATCGTAGTCCATCTTGCGTTCCTTCAGACTCATCATCTCTCTGGGGGAGGCTGGGGCGCTCGCTACACACACACACACACACACACGCGCGCGCGCACACACAAAATAATGAGCAATAAACCCAGAACAGCATGAGCCTTCACACTCTGCGTGCTTACACTGGTGTGTCTGTGCGTCTTGGTCTTTTTCAAGGTGCACAGTCATTATTCATCATTTAACTTGTCAGCAGAAAGGGTCACCTCCAGCATGTTAGACGACTTCTGGGAATTCTCACACACAGACGCACACAAACATACACATGGACGCTTTGGACAGTTTACTTAATAGTTTTATGTCTTTTCTTCTCTTCTTTATGTGTTTAAAGTTCATGTTAAATATCCAGCTATCTAACAAGCCAACAAGTCAGATCAACTTTGCTTGTAGTGCATTACAAAAGTGACCATTGATCATTACACCCTCGCACAAACAGGTCTTGTATTTCTTTAATTTTCTTGGTGCCTCAACTTAAACAATCTCCATGACTGGCTGCAAAATCTTGCACATAACAACAAAATAAATGGAGGTGCTAGTACCATCGAATGCATGCACAAGTCCATGCCATGCTAAAAGCATTACATTTAAAAGACAGCAGTGATTAATCTGACTGATCAAAGATTGCCAAATCATAGTTATATACTGCAGTGCAGTTTTCAGCAGTTTTAATGAGATTAAGTACATGTTTACTGACAGCACTCACCGTGTTCCCTGTATGCTTTTAAACATTTTAATCGCATTTTAAACGGGATGTTATTTAACCCGATTAAATGGACACTGTTCTAACAGTTTTTCATGCAAAACATAACAACAGTTAAATTGTTATTGCCTTTTTGTGCTTGTGTACTAAGTAGTATTAATGAACTCAATTGCAGCAGTGTTAAAATACTGAAACTAAATGGAGGAGTTTAGCTGCTAGTTTATTGGTTATCGTGACAACAAAGACATTTATGAGTGGCCTCATGCCAATATGCAGTCCTATTTGTGTGTTTTCCAACTCTGCTGCACTGCTAACTTCACAGTAGGGCTATGCTTTCTTTGGAGATACTATCAAGTTTCAAACCTATTTAGGATCTCCACACCTCCACACATAATGTTTCTGTTTGTGACTGTGTGGATTTGGACAATTATGCATGTGTACATATCTGTCCAAAGACATGCAGTTTGTGGGGATAGGTTAATTGGCCATCGGTGTAAATGTGGGAGTGAATGTGAGCGTGAATGGTTGTCTGTCTCTGTGTTGGCCTTGCGACAGACTGGCGACCTGTCCAGGGTGTACCCCGCTTCTCGCCCTATGACAGCTGGGATAGGCTCCAGCGCCCCCGCGATCTGGAAAAGGATAAGCGGAAGCGAATGGATGGATGGATGGATGGATGCATGCATGCATGTGTGCAGGCGATGACAAACATGGCTCTCATATTGTAGAAATACTGATAATGTCCCAATTTTCTTTTTTAAACACACACATGCAAACTTTTAGCCCATCGCAAGGTAATCCCGTTATAGCATACTTTAAGTGTTTACTCACCACCTCCTATCATAACACTGGAATGCCATAATCCTGCCCACCTGTTTCAGATTGCCTATATAAATATTCTTATAACTAACTCAATGCTTACATACCAACCCAGTATCACAGCAAAGCGTGTAATAGACACGCCGCTCCACTCTGTTCATTTCACGCTTTGCTGGGATACTGGGTTGTACACACATACAGTATACTCCAGGAAATGTGAGTACATTCTAAAAATAAGCTTTTTTGACATGCTCACACTAGTTTTGACATTTATTTAATATCTGTTACACATGCAAATATGCAGCACACACAGACACACACACACACACACACATGTGGAAGTCACCATTCTCAGTCCAATGAGCCATCGGGTAGAAACGCTTTTCATGCTTCTGAATAAAAAGAAAAGCAGATGTAGCCTACTCCAAAAATTAGTGCATAATTGTCTTTGTTCTCTTTGGTTGTTCTATACCACGATTAAAGGTTAGAGAAGAGCAACCTAGGGATGAAAACACTTATGAATATGACTAGCAAATGAAATAAAGGCTTTTAAAGTGATTTTTGGAGAGCCATTGAATTTAAATTCATCTATTTGAATACTAAAGGATGCCCGTTTTTCATCTCGGCTGTTCAATGTTTGACATAAAAAGCGCATTGTACCCTCTTATCTGTTTCCCAGCCTTTTCTGCATTTTGACAAGACATTGTATTACACACGTACACGCGCAAGCACAGAAACGACTCTGAAGAAGGCACATAAACATAATCACTTTGGCTGTGGTGAGCCACGCTTTTATAATGTTTTAACACATTTCATTTTTAATTTTATCATCCAATACCTCTGTAGCAGATTCCATTAAAATAGCAGCTCAAACCTTTTACAGAAACCTCCAGAGACAGTGCCATCGCTGCTGGTTACCTAGGGGACCTGGCTTGTAAATGCTCGATATGACAGCCCGGGAGACAAATTCTATCAGTGCAGAACACAGCAGGACCCTGTGGGGGCCATGACACATGCAAAGGTCTCTCTCTCCTTCTCTTGCAGCCTCTAACCTCCCCTTCTCTTTCATAGTCGTACTACTCTCTTCTCACATCAACTCTTTCACTCCTCTTCTCCCAGCGTACTTGCATACCATCATTACTCCTTCTGCTTTGATCCATCTCTAAGGAGTCGGACTGCAGTCTGGAGTGTATGCAGAGGAGAGATATAGGAGCATGTGGGTGTGTGTTAGTGTGTGTCTGTGTGTTTGAGAGCACACTGAGGTGGCCTGTAAAGAGTGAGAGATCAGAGGGAGAGGTGAGAAGAAAGCAGGATTACTGCAAAGAGGAGGAGGAGAGTGAAACGGGTGAATGAGAAGGGGTGGACAAGCTCAAAGGCAAAGGGGGAGGCATTGTGTGTAGACAGAGGAGGAGCAGAAGAGAAAGATGGGAGTCATGGCTCAATTTACCCCTGCTGATCCACTGTACAACAGACATCCACAAATTTCTCTATGCACTATAATCTCAAAACTTCTTATTTTCAATGTCGCTGGCTAAAGTCAAATCCCCAGCCTTCTTCACTTCCTCCTCCCTGCATTAACCATCCCTCAATCCCTAATTCTTCTTGCCTTCTTGCTTTTTCTCTCTCTATCTCCCTCCGTGTTTATCTCATCCCTCCTTCTTTTCCTCCTCACACACAAAAACACACATTTTATTTCTCTCTCTCACTCCCACTGTCTTCCTCTGTTAGCAGGGTCCTTGAAGACCTCTCTAAGCCAGGAGGAAGGAAAAGTACTTTTCTGCCTCATCAGCTTGCTAAGCCCAGTGTGGTGAAAGAACAGCTAAAGGCTCTTGAACCACCGATGCTAACAGCTAATGCTAATGTGCCCTTTGCAAAGCATGAAGGCCAGTGGGCTCAAGCTATGGGCTAATGATAATCATATTTTGTAGCATAAGCCTGTAATGCTATGAGCTATTTAGCGGTGGTATAATGACTGATCGCATCCGCACATGTTAATGTAGATGACTAATGTCTAAATTAGATTCTCTGTGTACTGTACCACAGATGTAACCCTTTATTCAACTGATTTTCTGTAACCACTTGTCAAAAGAGTAAAATTCAGTAAAGCCTTAAATTTTAATATATGCTTGTTTTTACAAACAAAATCCTGCCTTATTTTGATAATCATACCAAGTCTTTAAAGACAATTTATACCAACTGGAAAAGATGCTGACTGCTTTCTTAAAAATTCAAGTGCAGCTTGCAGGCTTAAAGAAATAAAGAAAATAAAATTATTAATAAAATATTATTTGCTATAACCTTGGCTTGAATATTGTTTCCCCAATTATTTAGCTGACTGCCTGTGATAAAAGAAAGACAAAAAGAAACAAAACAAACTGTATTTCAGTATTTTTTTGTTTCAGAAAACAAAGATTTTTTCAGTTTGATGATGTGCACCATCACAAGACCCATACCCTGTTTGGCCATGAGATATTTAACTAACCACACAACTAAGTGAAACATTTTTTAGATATGAGGTCTTAATCTTGGCTGTTAAGAGATACACAAGAATGAATGAAAACACGTATGCATAGCATCTGTATAGGGAGTGCCACGGGTTTCTCACCAGAGCGGTTATTTGGAGATGTCCTTACAGGAGAGACCGAGGGAGTTCGCGAGGAAGAATAGGGCCTCTGCCGGTCTCTTTCTATTGTTGAGGCAGAGCCCACAAAGTGATACTGGGAGTAGCCATCCTGTAAAACAAAACAAGGAAGAAGCTTGTTATCACCTGTGATAAGTAACTGCACAAATACATAATCTTACTGTCATCAATTATTATAGCAATTACATATTTTAAAAACGAAGATTTTTTAAAATCATCCATCCATTAATCCACTTTCTGCCACTTGTCTGGGTACAGGTTGCAGGGGCAGCAGCTTAGACTGCCAAGGAGGCATCCTAGCCAAATGTTACCTCAACTGGCTCCTTTCAGTAGCACCAGCTCGCTTTTGAGTCTCTAATGATGTCTGAGCTCATATCGTCACCCAAAGTAAGCCATTTGGTTGCCTACATCCACAAACTCCTTCTTTTGGTCATTACCCAGAGCTTGTGGCCTTAGGTGGGAACATAGATTGAGCGGTAAAGCTACAGCTTCACTCTCAAACTCAGCTCTCTCTTTATCACAGGAGACCTATGATGTCCGCACCAGTCTGTCAGATATCAGAATTATTTGATTTTTTTACTGATCAATCATCAAAACCTCCTATTACACGATACAATGTCACCATGTAAAAGACTGATCTTTTAGGAATATGTATTTTTGTAATGCACCAAAGAATGATGATCCATTAGTCTTAAACTCTGAAAGGCCCAAACAGATTTGCAGCTTCTAGTGGATGAAAGGATATGAACTGTTATTAGAGTTAGCGATACAACAGCGCCAGTTTGATTACCACGCAGCAGGAAGTGGCACTTCAACAACGGCTATATGACACAGCATGTCTGATTTACATTTTTACTGATGTGCTTTAGAAATAAACCCCTCCATGTACTCATACAAGTAACACTTTAAAAGCACAGAGTGGTTTGACGACTATATTAGGAGCAACGAGTAACAAGCGGAAGAAACACAAACTAACGTGCCCACGATCCAGCGATCTAGCAGAAAGAAAAAGGGTCACACTGACCGTGAAATGTTCAAGAGAAAACAAGTTTGTTTTTTTGATATTTTTGACAGGCCAAAAAAAGAAAAATCAATAATTTGTGACTTGCTGAAATTGTTCAAATTGATTCACTAAAAGAAAAATCTCTGTAAATACATTTACAGAGCCAACTGTATTTAAATATTGTCCTTATTGAGATTATTATCGTGTAGTAGGTAATTGAAACATTATTCTGGACACTGGTGGACATTGACAAACACACTGCATGTACAAGTGAGCTTACAGCCATGCGCATGCAACAAATTAACACGCTTGCCTCAATTCTGAGCTTAGTAAATAACCCACTCCCTTCGTAGAAAAATTAATACAACTAACAACTCCAAGCATAATTACTGCCAAGCAAATGACTTTGTATCAGCATTAGTTTAGTAGTCATTGGAGCAAAGCCCTTTTCATAAAAATGGATTATGAGAGTCAACAACAATCACAGAGCTGGAACCAAATTCAATTTAGCATTAAGATAATTGGGTACCTCTAAAAGCAAAGCACAAGCAGATAATAAAAGATATCGGAGGCATGTTCCATCATAGCGTTACTGTCTGGGGGCCTAAGCTGAGCAGTGGGAAACTGGTGAAAAAGTGATGACTGAGAGTACATAGGAGAGGTGAATCACTCCAGTTGCAATGATGCTGGAGAGGAGGACACGGAGGGGAGGAGAATGAGAGACGAAGGAGATGGGGCAGAAAGAGAAGAAGGTGAGATAGACAGAGGACTAGCTGAGGGAGACAAAAGATGGCAAAAAGTAATGAGCGAGGAGGAGGAGGAGGTGGGAGATTGCCAGAGAGAGTAATGACAGCAGAGCAAAGATAGCGTGAGGAGGGGAGAGGTAACACGGAGGAGAGGTACGGATGGAGAAGTACAGACACCAGCCAGGGAAAGCAAGAACTAGACTGGATCCCATGTCCTCCCTTGACTCTCATTTCCTGGCAGAGTGCTGAGAACTAATAGAAAGCTGGATCCTCTGACACACAGCAGTTCAAAGGTAGCTCATTTCTAGTCTCCACCATTCCTCCCACCCTCATATTCACTTCATCTATTTATCCACCATCCCTTCAGTATTCTCACTCACCTTGTTTCACATTCACGTCGCACCTTCCCACCTCCCCCCATCCCAACAAATCTCATTACATCCAATGTTACCTCCTTATGGTACATTGGAATGCCTGCTGTCAAACTGTCATGCTGCTCAAATGAACAGAGTCACTGAATATTGAACGATAAATGTATTTTACAGAGTGATGTACAAAGAGTGCTGCCTGGAGATGTAGCTCAGAAATGGGGCCCAGGAATGATTGGGGCAGGGGGCGGTGGCTTAAGGGCTTCCCCAAGCAAAATGAGCCATAGTCAAACTTTACAACAATGACTGAAATCAGAGATAAAGAATATAACATATACAAAAATGTATGGGTGTATTCACATTTGGTGTCTTACTACATAGAGTAATAACTTTATATTTTGCCATAATTTTATTCCACTCGTTCCCTTAAGAGTAAAAGATTAAATCGTTATTTTCTGCACTGACTTTACTTTATATTCTGTATGAACCTCTTCAAGCTTTTCATTGACTTTCGAATATTTATGGTCTGAAATAGTCAGACTCGCAATTCTCCTTATATAAGGCAGACAAATTCGATACTTTGTAAGAAGAATTTCATATGCAAATAAATAAAAAAATTCTGTGATTTTTTATTATCGATTGGTAGAGGATTAGTTTGTGCTGTGTATAACCAATAAATATTAAACCCAGATTAAAATTTAATCAAGGACCAAATCACACAGTGTCTGAAGGTCTGGACGGTATTTATTCTGTACCCTGTATCCATGGTCCAGCGTTTGTTTTGTGTCAGTGTGTGCTGTGAAACTTCACACTTACATTCACATTTATCATTCCTGGTCTTTCTGGCTCTCACCTATTCTCCTCAACATACCTGTTTTTTCTTCTCTTTTCCACCCACCTTGTCTTTCTCTCTCACAAGCTCTATACTCCAAGCACCCCTTTTCAACTCCTACTGTAAGAATGAGAGGAGAAAAAAAAAAAGAGGATTGGTTGCCAGGCAACCGGTCTGCCTGTTGCTCTCAGCATCACTGGATGGTTAGCTGAAGGTCGCAGGACTGAGAGGTAAAAAGTGATTATTGCCCCAACAAATGAAGAGAGTGTGCGCGTGGGTATGGCGGCACTTTGTGAAATTGTAAAACGTTACACACGACGAGTGGAGGGGGCCCTCCGGTCACATCAACCACTGAACATTGAACGTTTTCAGTCCTTTAATCCATGCCTCTTTCTCACTCATTTCAAGCTCCAATTTTAATATTTGCAATTATCACCACCTCCCTCTTGAGCCATCTGTCCTCTCAGGAGCAATGTGCCCCTCGACCTTTGCATCCCTCATACTGGTTACTGGTGGTGTTGCTGATTTAGCAGCTGATCTTTATACTATGGTTGCATTGATTGCAAAGACCCCAGAATGTTGCGAGTGCTGCAACTCTGCCTCTCTATCTTCCCAAAATACTGTTGTTAGGCTGTCTGAGGGTAAAGGCTATCTTAACATCCCTCCATCTCCTTTCTGTGTTTCCCTCCCTGTCTGTGTCTGACTGTGGGAAAAATCAGATGAAACAGAGTCAGCTTCTGAGGCCTGAGCTTGTTTGATATTCAATGATGTTTTTAAATATCCACCTCCTTCTCTCTGTCTTTCTCAGTTTTGTAGTTGATCTTTCCACAAGTATAGCAGTGGATGATTTCATTTTTTCAAAATAAAAGTAGTGGCGTGGAACCCTTAGAGCTCTCTATCAGATTAATTCATTTTATTTGCAGTAACATCCTGAACATTCGGGGCTCACTGATCATGCACAAGACTAGGCTGAGCAATCACTGACCTTACACACACACACACACACACACTTCATTTACATCACTTCTCACTTACGTCACATCACATCCACATAGTGAATTACACATCCCCAGAGCATATTGTAAAACTGTCACACGTGTAACAAACACAGCATCTCTCTGACCCTGAACTCAATCTGTCAAACATGTGTGCATCTGCCTTGGTGATTTGTGCGTGTTTGCGATATTTATATGTGATATGTGGGCATGCCTGTGTGTGTGTGTGTGTGTGTGAGGGAGAGAGAGAGAACATGTCTGATTAAGTACCCTAGACAGATCATTTATCAAGAAATGAGGCACAGCAACTCAGCAGAAGTTATGCACTGAACAGGGACATAACAAAGTGTAACAGTGTGAATATGAAATTTAGAATTTACCTTGTGTGTCTGTGTGTCTTTGTGCCAGAAACAGAAGGGTGTATATGTTTGTGTAAATGAGTCAGAATTTGATCTCTCCGGTCCTATTAAGAATGGGTTTATTTACAAAGTGACCATGTTTCAGTCGCTTGCTTTCTCTGGAAATCCCCAGTTGAACAGTGCTGCACATTTGTTGTTTACTTAAAAGATGACCTGTGGCTACACTCCAAGAACTGTAGATGAAACGCTACATGCGGAGCAACACAAACACACACACCGAATGAGGACACATCCTGTCAAACAGTCCAAATAAACTCTGGTAAAAGTAGAGTTTTACTGCACTCTGGAGAGTATTATACATGATTTATCCTCAAGTCAGTGCTAGTGTTGGTACAAACAGATTTTGGCTTTGGTTTATTAATGACTGCTGCGCAGCAGATCTTTCAAATCATCTCAGATGCTGTATTCATATTGAGTTACTGTTTATTCATAGGCTTGCAGCATTTCGCTTTACTGTGCTCAAACACTGCGGGGCAGCCCTGCACCCCCCCACTCCGTTGCAATTCTCTTTTCTTTCTCTCTCTCTCGTAGCCGAGCCTGCTCCCATGGCACTGCTGTAGGAAGTGATTAACTCTTCTTACCGCGTTTTGACAAAAACACACAATTTCAAAGACACACGCTCGCACAAACATACACGTTTACCCACACCCATAACTTGAACACAGTTTGAAAGTGTGTTTGAAAATGCTCTCATTACTTCAAGACTTCAAAGCAAGAAACTCTTTGGC